ATCATCGTCGGGAATGTACAGTATATATGTAGAAGATTTTATGGTACGCGACGTTAAATATATATGGCATGGCATTTCATATTTAAAACTTAAAGAGGTACTCAAAGCTAATAAAACACTTCGTTCCTTACCACTAGTTGATACTCCAGACAACATGATATTACTTGGTTCAGTGCAACGTTATGAACTTATTAAAATGATTGAAAAGCATATAGGGCGAGAAAAACGAATGGAAGTAGCACAAAAATGGCAAAAGGAAGCTGAAGAGAGGTAAATGGAAACTCAATAAGGTTATAATTAAAAAAGTCGTTAAAATAGTCGTTATATATTTGATATAGAGCAAGAGAGGAGGAAAAGAAAAAACTGGAAGCGGAGTTAAAAATGCGTAGACCTTCACGATTTGAAGTATTGCCAGCACCAGATATTTTAAGCTTACGTCAAATTGCTAACGACGAAATGTTACCACCAAAAAAACGTCAAGAAACTTTAAATAATACATTAGCACCTCGAAAATCCATTTTAAAAAAGACAAACTCCTTTAACTTAAAAGCATTCACACCGACTGCACCTAGCCCAACCATTACACCATATACCACTATTCATACAGGTACAGAATATCGGATACGCTCAGCTTTTGAAGCTATATTTAAAAAATCTTCAACGCTACAAGATGTACAACCTGATCCGGAAGCGGGTACAATTACACCAAGTTTAAGTGTAAATGAAGTACAAGTTCAACGTGCACCCAGTACACCTGGTATTTCAAAGAAAGTTCAGCTAGTAAGTACAATTGCGATTCACATAATATTTTATCTATACTACTATTCATATGGTATGTTAATAATTATATGTTACATGTTTTTGTCCTTTGTTTTTTATGAATGTTTTAATATGTATAATTATGGTTTTTTTACATTATAAGTTTACGGAAAACTCGCTTGAGGAAAATATGGTAATTTTTAAACTAATAATAATTATGCAAAATAGAGGATTAAATAAATTTATAAAAAAAATTTAATCTTCAGAATCCATCTATCACACATCTAATTTATTGTTTGCTCTTCAAATCATAACTACTCGTAAATCATATTTTCTATACATTTGTTTATGTGAAACAAATTTTTTTCATTATTTTCAAGAAAGGACCTCCCAACACACCGGAGAGCGTTAAGTCGAACAAAATGGTAGGGATTTGTTAATTCAGTAAAATATCTTTTAATAAGGAAGATTATTTTGATACATAAATCTAGTTATGGCATTAATATGGCATCATTTAATTAAGTTGGACTGAAATATATTGATTCACTCAGAGATAGATACTGGATACATTGATGGATCCAGGATAGGTATTAGCACAGAAGTCAGTGTCTACTTAAGCGGCTTTGATATCTATGCCATATTGTTTGTGCAACTTGATTAAAGAGTTTCAAATATTATTATAAAAATACACTCAATTTTGAGCTGCTCTTACTATTTATTTACATTCACACTAAACTCAGCATTCAGCGTCTTAATAAACTAAATCTTTGAAATTCAAAAACATGTTAAAATATTACAGTAAAATTTTTTCTCTTATTCTTTTATGTGATGTCAAAACAGTTTAAATGAGATTTGGTTGTTGTTGAAGCTTAAATAGGTACTCAGATTCTAGAATTCATGTAAGAGGAGTTAAAAAAAAATACCTACACTATTTAATAATTTGTTCACAGTACTTCCAAAGAAATCTTTGCCATCTCGATAGCCTACCATTTTTATTCAAGCCTTAACCTCTATAATAAAGAATTATCTACTCGGATGGGTAATTAACTGAAATTCAACAATTAAAAATAAAAAATATAGTTAATTAATTCAATTATTCTATGATTGATTATCTAATATAAACGCAGCAAATGAATTTGTTAATAAAACTTTCACAGCAAATTAACAAAACTCCAGAAAAATGTGCGAACATAAAAGTCAAGTACGGCTTTGTGTCAGTTGGTTAAAGTGCGCTGACTCTGAGCTTCAAATTGGAATGGGTACGAGTTCGATTCCTGGTACTTGCAGTCTCAAAAAAAGAAAGTTATTTACGAATAATTAAATACAAGAATGGTGATAGGTATTTGGCAATACTCCAAACAGCTGTATGGTCAGCCAACTAAAATTCAAATAATTAAAATAATATAAAACATTTTTTGTTGTTGTAGTACACTACTATCTATAGAAAAAATTCTTAATAGGTAATTAACAAACTATTAAAATCAATTAAAAATGCAATTATTATCGCAATTCATACTAAAGTATAGATGAGACATCAAAATGCTTGATAGCAAATCAAAGGTACACTAGTTTTAGTTACATGTCATGTCATGTAATACAGTGTGGCAAGAGTAATCGCAAACCGACTGACAAAATCTGACGTCGTTTTTACAGAGCTCCTCCCTACCTATTTAATCTCCAGCTAGATGACTACTGCTACAAATCAACCAACTTTTTTTTAGATAATACCAGTGCGAGTAGACTAAAGATAGCATGACTTTTCTATAAAAGCAAAAATTTGTTAAATTTGTTTGTTCGGTTACAACAATAAGCTTCCTTGTTGAAATTAGATACATTTTGCACTCTATTAAAATTTCAAGAATATTCCGCATTGTGTAAGTATATTCTCTATTGTGTATTTCTTTTTTAAACTGCACACTCTGGCAAAGAAGGTCGACGAAGATATACTTACTAATATCGATGATAAATTAACGAATAACTTAAGTGAGGTAAGTACAGTAGTTTGCATTATGTTTCCTTGTTCGTTTTGTTTTGTGATTGTTTGTTGTTTCATTTTTAAATTGGGTTCTGTTTTCTTTAAACGGTATTAAATGGAAATGAAATTTATATATTGTATTCTTTCTCTTTTCTTTTTATTTATTAAATTCATTTTTGCACAACAAAAATTCTGTAGGCGTCAAGGTTAAGAAAGACAAAATCTGTAACATTGGTATGTGGTATTTATAAAGGAAAAGGATAAAAAACAATTTTTTAATTTATTGTAAATATACCAGTACTAGTAAAATAAAAATATATAATAATAATGTATAATGTATTGTAGCTTATGTATTTGATGGTCATAAAAATTTGTTAACCCCATAATTATTCAAAATGAATGTACTGTTTATTATATATGTACATTGATATTGCACTTTCGCTATATCCGGCTCGAAGGACCAAAATGTACTGTAATATTGAAGATGTACATTGATTGAGTATTCTTTAGTTACTGATTTTATTTAAAACAATGCTGTGTTTTTATACAAAATTATCTTAAGACTAATTTCTACATCAAGGTTAAAATAATATGATTTTAATGGACTGTATTACATTTTGTTATTGTTTGTAAAAAAAGGTTAAAAAAGGACGGAAGTCCCAAGGGATTTTCCTCCTATTGTTTTTATGAATATATTTTATTTTAATCATTTAGATACGGATGCTCAAAAATGTTACTATTTCTAAGAATTTAGGTGATAATGGATTTATAAACTATAATAATTAAATATATGGTATAAATTCATGTTCATGATTGGACATTCTGCCGGAGGTCAAAACTCATGTTCGTGATTGAACAATGAACTACATACATTAAGACTGAAAAGTTTTCGGAAATTCTCATTTAAAATTCGCGCGCTGTATATTTTTCGATATTTTAAGTTTATGTAGTTTGGCAGCACTGTCCTTAATTACTATGCCAAAAATGAGCTCGATCTGTCAGACAGTTCGTTTACGGCAGCTGTTGAAACCAGTTCACCTCAGTAGTGCGTTGCGAAATGTCTTCGACGGTCGTACGACCGTCCTGGAAGGCTTTGTACCACTCATAAACTTGAGTTTTCGATAAAACTGATTCCCCATAAGCCTTTTGTAGCATTCGCAACGATTCTGCACACGAAATTTCGTTCGAAACACAAAATTTGATGCAAACTCTTTGTTCAATATTTTTTTCCATTGTTTTTTTCGCAACGCCCTACTGAGGTGAACTGGTTTCAACAGCTGCCGTAAACGAACTGTCTGACAGATCGCGCTCATTTTTGGCATAGTAATTAAGGACAGTGAACTACATAAACTTAAAATATCGAAAAATATACAGCGCGCGAATTTTAAATGAGAATTTCCGAAAACTTTTCGGTCTTAATGTATGTACGTATAATATTAGAAAAAGTACAAACTAAAAACTAATTTATATTTACATATGTATGTGCATATGTATATCAGAATGTTATTAAAATTGAACACTTTCTGTATATCTTGTAGGGAAAAAACGGCTTCGAATATAAATAAATTAATAAAGCGCTTACCATTTTACTATTTTGCTTTGCAATACGCAATACGTATTTAATGGCAAAGGTTATATTAGTATTGTATTTTACTTATATTAAGGCTTAGATAGGCTCAGATATTGCTTAGGATATAACTATTATACCTACATATAATTCAAATGAGTACGGTAGTCAATATGACACACAAAATAGACTAGCAAGAGTTAACCAAACCTTAATATATGTATTGTCGTATAAACATTTGGTATTTCGAGTCAATTTTAGATTTTATATTGTTGAACTTTGATCGCCACTGGTTCTTCGAGATGAAGGTATTACTTACAGCAAGTTGAAGAATTTTAATTGATTCCTTTTCATTACGATCAATAGAAAGCAGAGCAAAATCGTCAGCTAGGTCTTTATATAGTTAAATTTGCAATGAGATTGTTAACTTGCTATTAATTCACTTTTCTTCTTGGTATTTTTACTTACAGATTATCTTATTCACGTTTCAATAATATATTCACAATATATGTTAGAGATTATCAGACTTTTAGTGATTATCGTCAAATTTTAATGATCATCGATTTAATTTATTTTTAAATATAATATTAATATTTATTACCACATAGATTATATTTAATTTTATAAATAAATGTATTATTACTTTAGCCACGTGAACGGGTTATCGACATGTCACCCGAAGATCAGAAAAAATGGGAAATGGAAGAAATGTTAAAACCTATTGATCTCGAAAAAGCAAATATACACATCGATCCATCACCATTTCAATTAGTCGAACGTACTTCGATACTTAAGGTGCACTCTTTATTCTCCATGGTGGGAATAAATCATGCATATGTCACAAAAATTGGTCGCCTTGTGGGTGTGGTTGGTCTGAAAGAGGTAATATATTATATTTAACGCTATGTAAAAGATTTACCAACAACTATAAATATTTTGTCATATTTTCTAGTTGCGCAAAGCAATTGAAGACATCAATAGTAATAATTTTGTTGTACAAAACCAAATTAAAGTTGAAGAAAAACCCATAATCGAGAAACCCTTGCTTCCCGACGCTACAAGTGATAAGCAAGTGAACACTACTGTTACTTCAATGGATTCGGCATTATCGAATTCCGACAATTGTTCTGATATTGAAATGGAGAATATTAAGACTCAAACACAGCAACAAGAGCAGCCCCAAGCAACAAATCAAATTACTTGCGAAAGCAATGAAACCAGTAATAAGTGATCTAATTGATGCCATAACTATTTTATTATCGTAAACCACGAACCTCATCCAAAGTTTAATATAATAGCATAGATCAACTACTTTTAATTATTGTGTATTCTGAATTGTTATTTTTTCTATACTATAAAATTAAAATAAATTTTTATATGTAGATATTTAATATATTGTAATTATTATTAAATAATTTAATATTTCATGCATTATGTTTTAGACAATATTTCATTGTTTGAATATTTTATTCAGAAATTTTGTATTATAAGTCAGTAATTGTTATATTTAGTTTTATATAATTTATACTTCTGAGGAAATAAAATCCCCGAAAATATGTATATAGTCAAAATGTAATAAGCAACGCCTTAATATTAAATCAGTCACAAAAATAAACGATTTTATTCGAATTAAAATATATTTTCTTCTATTCATTTCCCCAAAAACCACTAAAAAAAAATAGTATACTCCGACATTAGCTTCAAAATTTTATATGTTATATATTATGATAAATAATAATATACATTAATTAATTACCCTTAACTACCTTTATAAAAAAACTTTGAATCAAAATTGAAATCTCATATATATGGTGACAATATAAAATGTGTAATAACATATAGGGTAAGGCGATTGCAGTGTTATGGTGCTATTCAA